TTCCCCTTCAAATGTGGCACTAGACAAGGATGCCCTCTCTCTCCACTGCTATTCAATATAGTACTAGAAGTTCTAGCCAGAGCAATCAGGCAAGAAAAAGAAATAAAGGGCATTCAAATAGGAAAGGAGGAAGTCAAATTGTCTCTATTTGCAGACGACCTGATTATACATCTAGAAGACCCCATCATCTCAGCCCCAAATCTCCTGAAACTGATAAGCAAGTTCAGCAAAGTCTCAGGATACAAAATCAATGTGCAAAAATTACATGCATTCCTATACACCAATAACAGACTTAAACAGAGCCAAATCAAGAATAAACTTCCATTCGCAATTGCCACAAAGAGAATAAAATACCTAGGAATACAACTAACAAGGAACGTAAAGGACCTCTTCAAGGAGAACTACAAGCCACTGCTCAATGAAATAAGAGAGGACACAAACAGATGGAGAAACATTCCATGTTCATGGTTAGGAAGAATCAATATCGCGAAAATGGCCATACTGCCCAAAGTAATTTACAGATTCAATGCTATCCCCATCAAGCTACCAATGACCTTCTTCAAAGAACTGGAAAAAAACACCTTAAAATTCATATGTAACCAAAAGAGAGCCCGCATAGCCAAGTCAATTCTAAGCAAAAAGAACAAAGCGGGAGGCATCACACTACCGGACTTCAAACTATACTACAAGGCTACAGTAATCAAAACAGCATAGTACTGGTACCAAAACAGAGATATAGACCAATGGAACACAACAGAGGCCTCGGAGGCAACACAACATATCTACCACCATCCGATCTTTGACAAACCTGACAAAAACAAGCAATGGGGAAAGGAGTCCCTGTTTAATAAAAGGTGTTGGGAAAACCGGCTAGCCATGTGCAGAAAGCTGAAACTGGACCCCTTCCTGACACCTTACACTAAAATTAACTCCATATGGATTAAAGTCTTAAACATAAGACCTAACACTATAAAAACCCTAGAAGAAAACATAGGCAAGGCCTATTTTACTTATCTAATATAAATGTTCAAGAATCATTCTTACTTCCACCTTCCCTTCAAACAAGATAATAACATTAGTGTTCTCACAACTCCCTCCAATTTCATTCTCATCTCCCACTTACTGATCGCCAGAAATAGTCTCATCATCTGTAGGGATGGATGTGAAGGTAGAGACAGCGGCCCATCCTAATTCACTATCTTATCAGGAACAAAATGTTCTTTTATATAATGTAAACACAATACATTATCTTGTAATCATTTATTTGCAGAAAATTTCCTCCTCTGATGAAATAAAGCAAGAGTTACACAAAGCACCAGACACATAACAGATGCTACTGTCATTTAAATGTGTCCCCCAAATTTCATGTGTTGGAAGCTTAACTATGAATGTGGCAGTATTGAAAGGTGGGGTTTTTGAAAAGTGATTGGATCATGGAGTACTCTGCTCTCATGAATGGATTAACAGGTTATCACAGGAGTGGAACTGTTGGATTCCCAGGATAAAACTTGAGTGGCTGGCCGGGTGCGGTGGCTCACACCTGTAATCCCAGCACTTTGGGAGGCCAAGGCGGGTGGATCACGAGGTCAAGAGATCGAGACCATCCTGGTCAACATGGTGAAACCCCGTCTCTACTAAAAATACAAAAATTCAGCTGGGCATGGTGGCATGTGCCTGTAATCCCAGCTACTCAGGAGGCTGAGGCAGGAGAATTGCCTGAACCTAGGAGGTGGAGGTTGCGGTAAGCCGAGATTGCGCCATTGCACTCCAGCCTGGGTAACAAGAGTGAAACTCCGTCTCAAAAAAAAAAAAAAAAAACTTGAGTGGCCAAGATGTATTTTCCATTTTTATAGATTGAATTTAATTTTCTAAAATTTTGTTTAAATTTTTAACATTTTTAGTCATGAGCAATATTTGTGGTTTCCTTTTCTTGCAATTTTTTTCAGGTTTTGGTATCAGGATAATGCTAGCCTCTATAATAATCTCAAAGAATGTAACTCTAAAAACCACATTAGGCTTTAAGCACCTTGTTAAGTAATGTGAGGTCTACCTGCCCAGTGCCTGTCACATGAGATGTTGTTCTAATTGAAATTATTTGTTGTCTGAGAGCCAGGATTGGAGATGCCTCCCAATAATTTCCTTTAAACCACCACTGTCATTTTATGCCCGAGTCATCCCTACTTTAAAAGCCTTAGGAGTGTGTTCAAATAATGGATTTCAGATGACACTGAACAAGAACATTGACTATAAGACAATGAAAACTTAGAAGCAAAAACTGATGCTTCCTGCAGTTTTGAGTGAACTTAGGCAAGTTGGATAACTTCTTTATGTCACTTTTCTCATTTATAAAATGAAACTTTAGGCAAAATATCTCACTGTCCACCTGCACTGAAACTTCAAACTGATTTAAAAAAAAAAATCATACATGAAATTGTGAAAAACTCCTATGGAGATAGCTACCTGCATTAGTGAGTGTGAGTAGACAGAGTGGATAATAGATAAACCAGTGTTTGTCCTGAAAATAAATAGTTGGTTGGTAAATAATTGTCTATAATCTGTAGCTTAGAAACGTGTTAATTTCAACTAGGAATCCTGAGTATCATGAGAAAGCAGATTTTTAGAAAAACTATATAATCAGAAAGCAAAACAAAACTTTCAAGAAAATTCTGGCCTGAGCAAATTACCTTAGAAACAGATAACTTACTATAAGAAAATTATTTCATGGAAATTTGGAGTCTTTTTTCTTTTTTTTTTGAGATGCAGTCTTGCTCTGTTACCCAGGTTGAAGTACAGTGGCACAATCTGGGCTCACTGTAACCTCCACCTCCCTGGTTCAAGCCATTCTTCTGCCTTAGCCTCCCAAGTAGCTGGGACTACAGGTGCACACTACCCCACCCAGCTAATTCTATTTTATTTTTAGTAGAAACGGGGTTTCAACATGTTGGCCAGGCTGGTCTTAAACTCCTGACCTCAGGTGATCCACCTGCCTTGGCCTCCCAAAGTGCTGGGATTACAGAGTCATATTTAAACCAGGGTTTGGTGACTAGAAGTATGAAAGTTTCAATTGGGCACAAAATAGCCCCAAATAACCCCTCTTCATTTTATTTATTTCAAGTACTCTTCATATATAGCTTAACTTATTCATGTAATAAATACATATGTGCATCTGTTTACATGTAAGTGAGAGTATGGATATGAGTATGCATGTGTGTACATGTGTTTACATGTGTGTGCTCACACATGTGTTGAACACTGGTGCTAGGCCCTGGATACAGTGGTTAACAAAAAGAAAATTGTCTCTGCCTTCATAGGTTAGTTTCCAGTGGGAGTTACAAGCAAGAGAGTGACACTAGATTTTGAGATTTTTTGAAGGCCAGGTCTGACTGTATCAGATTATCTATGTCTAGACAGTGCATCATAAATCTTAAGTGTGTAATTAATGTCTGCTAATTTTTCAAACTGAAAATGTCAGTTTTAGCTTGAAATCACTCTCAGAACTGTGATTTGTTCCAAGATGAATTGTTCGACATGAACATATATATGTCTATTTTAGCAGATAGATACACACACATATATATAGCTTAAGCATCATCATTCTTAGGTATAGTCAGCAGAATCTACTCCAGCAAGTTTAATCAGAAAGGCATTTATTAGACAGTGCTAGGTGATATACAGCAACTCCAGGAGGGCCAAGAGCCAAAATAGATGTTCTATAGCCAGAAACAGCTGCAAACAGAAACATCTATTCACCCTGAGACTGTTCTAGGAAAACCCTCTTTTCTGCTGTGACTCAACTCTTTCCCCAGGTTTCCCATCAGAGCTTGCCCCAGAAAAACTAAATGCTTCTACTACCATGCCACACATTTCTCACTTCCTTCTTCCAATTCTCATGTGTGTATAAAACCTGAGCCATACATGGAGCCCTCACTGCAAGAAAGTTTGAAAAATGTAGCTATTAACTTTCCAGCCTCCCCAGTGCTGAAAGGCACACTGGAAAGGGGACTGGAATGAGTCATGTGCAAGCCAATTCATTATAAAATTGCTCCAGTTTACACTAAGATTTTTGTCGTCACTATCTAACTGGACTGTGTTCCTGGGGAGAACCATAAATAAAAGGATAGAAGAGGGTTTCAATGCCTACCATGTGTCAAAGTGGGATGGACAATCCCCTTCCCTAAATTCTACTCCCCATACTGGAGGTGCAAGGACAAGAAGTGTCTCTACGCATCCTGGAAACCTTAAGCTTCGGAACTGAACTAAGCTACAGTGTCTCAGAAATAATGCCTGACCCACTTCACAGAGTTCTTCAGAAGATAATGCATGTGCGTATTCGTAATTGTCACACTGATAAACGCGTCATCTGCTCCTCCATATGTATTTCTGTGAGCCTGCTCTAAAAAGAACCTCTTTCCTGCCATGACTCAACTCTTTCCCCACATTTCCCACCACAACTTGCCCCAGAAAGACTAAATCCTTCTACTACCATGCCACGCATTGCTTATTTCCTTCTTCCAGATCTCATGTGTGCAGAAAACCTGTTCTACCTGTGGCTATACATCGGCCTCATCACAGTCTCTTCTCTTTACCTCACCTGCCTCAATCTTATCAGTCATCAACATCTGTTTATTCGACTTCAAAAACTGCTCTCAAATCTAGGCTCTCCGTTGTCACTTAAGTTGGTTCGGTCAAGTTGTTACAGGTTTTCTAATTGATTATTTTGCCTCTAGTCTGCAACTTTCCACCTCTCTACCCCAAAAAGCAAATCAGAGTATGCTAACTCTCTTGCTTCATCATTTTCATTGTTATTTGCATTAAAATTCATACTGTGAAAATAACACTATCCGAATAAAGATAGACCCGAATCAGCAGACCTGAAACATTTCTCTACTTCCCAGACATGAGTGAATGCATGCAACAGAGACCTATGACTGCTTATGGGCCAACTTGGGAAGTTCCACAAGGTGCCAGTTCAAAACTAAATGATGTTCCAATGATCATTTATAGAAATGGATCAATATTAAAACTGGAATGTGTTCTTTGTCAAAGATGTTTTAAATCTCCTCCACGTGATTTCTCTGTGTGTTCCTCATTTCATTAGTCATGAATTACACAACTCTTTTTCCTATTTTTCTGCTTCAATACTTCATCTTCATTCCTGTGATTTTGAAAAAAAAAAAAGAGTGGATATTGGATGTTTTATTTTTATATTGCACCAAATGATACATCTCAGCCACATTCTTCCTGTCATCCAAATTACCCCATGCTTTCTTTACTTTCAAAGAAACACTGTCTATGTCTACTACCTAATTTAGCATCTCCTTTTTCAGGTTCTCATCTCATTTACCTCAAAATACTTATTTCTCTGACAAATAAGAAGCTGAACAAACTACCTCTAATAAAGCAAACCATGTGATACCTTTTGAAGTTAATTGTAGACTACTATTTTATTCCTTTCACACTCATGTATCTTCTAAACAAAAAGAACACAATATGCTAAATAATTTATTTGGGAACAGAGATCGGCATTCTAACATAACACTTCTAATGCCTATTTTAAAGAAACACCTCATTCACAGAAATCACAGATCACCAGAAACTGCCTATTAGACTGTGAAGTATGAAAGGTGCTTAATCAAAAAGAAAAAGCTCTTTTTAAGGTTAGAGAGGCATATTTAACGTTTCCAATTTTTTGACATAGAGATTTTGTATTATTTTATGTGGGCTAAAAATTGCATATGGAATTGTGTATTGGGTTAGAAATTGCATATATATATATACACAATATGTATTATATGCATGCTATATAACATTTACATATATTTATATAATATACATTTTATATACACATACACAATTTCCTAACCCAAATACAAAATCTTGATAAAGAATATACATATTCTATATTTTATAGATACATCCACATTATACACACACACACACACACACACACACACACACACACACACACACATATATATATATATAT